CCTTGGGTGGCTGCCACTTGATTCCAGCTGGAGCGGGGAACCGGGACAGTAGTACTAAAAATAGCACCATGGCCCCAGCTCCTCCCCCACAAACTGGACGGCAGAAGGTGAGGAGAGGAAGGGGCTTGTACTGAGGTGAGGCGAGGCAGGGCAGGAGAAGAAAGGGGCAGGGTGGAGGAGAGACAAATGCAAGGTACCCAAGAGGAGACAATGAGAAAAAGAGCAGGAGGGAGGAAGGAAGGTGTCAGTGGTGGTGGGAGAGGGGGAAGACAATGGGGAAAAGAGGGAGGGAGAGGAGTAGGGGGTGCTGGGAGAGGAGGGGGTGACAGAAAGGGTGGGCACGAGGAAGGCAGGGGATGGAGCAAGTCATTTGTGAGGGCACCTAGGGGTGTGAGGGAGTGGGCACCAGGGAAAAGGAGGGCAGAGACTGAGAGAAGGAGGAGACACCAGGAGGGTGCAGGTGCCAGGGGATTCTGAGGGTGAAGTAGAAGGGTAGACATGTGGAGGGGAGGGACGGGCCTCAGAGGAGAGAGGCAGGGCAGGTGGGTAGAGGGAGGTGTTAGGAGAGGGCATGGGGTGGGGTAGCTATAGATGATCAGTGGGGTAGAGGAGGAGTGGACACAAAGGAAAGGGAAGGAGGCAGGGGTCCAAGAGGATGGAGAGGGGAGCAGTTCCCCAAAGGGTTGAGGGGGGAGAGGAGGATAGGAGCCAGGACAGCAGAGGAGAGTGGGGGGGCAACAGGCACTTGAGGAGCAGAAGGGGTGAAGGGAGGGTGGGAGACATGGCAGCAGAGGGAGAAGGGAGAGGTTTTTAAGATATTTATTAACTTGGGTGCCACAGTAACACAGCCAAACATGTGCACATGGACTCTATACTAGTGCGCAAGACAAAACTCGCTCCACTCATGGAAGGAAAATCTTAGATAAAACGCTTCCCCCCCCCCCCCCCCGCGCTTCCAACAAAAAAGCCCCCCCCCCCCCCCCCCCCCGAGTTAATGCAATGCAAGTTGGGTAAATGCAATTGCAGGCTAGTTTCATGGGGGAGGTGCCATGGGGGCCAAACCCATCCCTATTGGTAGGAGGACTATGGGAGGAGTTCTTAGACCCCCCCCCCCCGAGTTAATGTAATGCAAGTTGGGTAAATGCAATTGCAGGATAGTTTCATGGGGGAGGTGCCATGGGGGCCAAACCCATCCCTATTGGTAGGAGGACTATGGGAGGAGTTCTTAGAGGGTCACATGACACCCTTTACTTCCAGTCATGTCCATCTGACCCCTGGAGTACTACCTCCAGGGTGGGATTTCTTGTGGCAGGGGCATGGCTAATGGGGTTCTGGGGAGCAGCTAATGTGTCCCTAATTTTGGTTCAGAAAATATGGTCACCATACTGCTGGGGCACCATGTGGCCGGCCAGTCATCAGCCAGTTTTCAGCATTAGGTCTCCCATGGCTACACAAAGGCAAATACACTTCCCAGTGCCTGAGACATACGCATATGCTAGTTCCTGGCAGCATATACAGTACTCCTGTCTCTCCAGTCTGAGCCAAAGGCCATGGGGGGCGGGAGGGTGAGGAATCTCTCTCTGGGCTGAGCACATGCCATCAGATCTTTTTATTTCTCCCTTAGATTAAATCACACACATGAGCCCCCAACCCAGGTGTTTTACAGCAGATAATAAGCATCTGTTTGAGCCTTGCTTTATAAGAGAGGAGCTAAAGCAAAGGGTAGGCGTGTTTCTTGTAAGCAGTGGGTGATACAAATTGGGGTGGCAGATTCCTGTTTAAATCTCTTCCCCTCTCTGCCTAGGCTTCGCCTGCAGGGACAAGCCACAGCCCCTGGGTTTGGGCAGGGACCAACCAGTCCCCAGAGAACTTCCCCCACCAGCACCAGGCACAATGAGACTTTGGCTCCTCCATTTGGTTTTACACTTGGGAAGGTGTTAGCGTCTGTTAAATGCATTGCAGGGAAATGAGAGCTATTGTGTCTTTGCTCTCAACACCATTCCCAGCCATGCCTGGTCCCAGGAATTGATGGAGTCCAGAGGAGCTGTGAAGAAGCACAGAGACTCTTTGTGCCTCCCCTGCAAAGCCTCCAGCTTCCCCTTCAGTGACTATGCTATGAACTGGATCTGGCAGACTCCTTTGAAGGGGCTGGCATAGATGACTGAGGTTAAATATGATGGCTCACCCCAGTGCTATTCCCCAGCTGTTCAAGAGCGATTCACCAACTCCATGGACAATCCCAACAGCCTGCTGTACCTGCCAATGACTGGCCTGCAGCCCAAGGGCACTGCCTGCTATCACTGTGCCAGATACACAGTGACACTAATCCTATGGCTGCTCGTGCACAAACCAGAACCGCAGAACTTCCCATGTCTGCAGCGGAGACAGGTGCAAAACAGCCCTGCCTGGGCTGCAGGGAGTGAAGAATCATCAGGATGGAACACTCTGACATTGAGGATTAATTATTTCATGCCCTGCACACTCCTCACTCCAGTGCATGGCTGGGTGCTGCTGCCTCTGGTAAACGGCTTCTCTCATTGAAGCTAAAGGGGGAATCTCGGGAGTGAAGCTGGGAGCGACTGGCTGTCTCCCTTTGGCTCAGCCTCAGGCCACACACAGGACTGTCACTCCGGGGTGCTTTAGAGATGGAATTGGATAATGTCCAGCCACCCACCAATTAAATATTCTCAAAGCAAATGTTAGGCTCAGGTTCTGTAGAGCAGTAGTCACCAACCAGTAGATCTTGGAGCCTCTGACAGGTGATCCTCACTGATTTGGCCAGGAAGCTATTAAGTGCTGGCAGTTGCCCCTCCACCCACTGTCATGCTGCTCCTGCTCTCTGCCTTGGAGCCACCCCCCTGGGAGCCTCCTGCTTGCTGTGCAGGGTGAGGGAAGGAGAAGGGGGAAGTGCTGATGTCAGGCTGTCCCTCCTCCAACTTCTGTACCCCATCTCCACAGAGAGAGAAGGGGATGGAGGGAGATTGGCAATGCAAATCTGACTGACTCACTCACTCACTCGAAGCTGGTCCGACCAGAGATACGGGGATCGATTTTTAAGAGTAAGAGGTTTTGTTTTTAAAGCAGGGGTGAGGAACCTAATACCCCAGCTCACGTGAGTGTGGCCCTCGAGACTCAAGGTTCCCACACTAACGCTCTAGCTCCCCTCCAGATTGGTGATAGAAATGTAGCCGTGTTAGTCTGGGGTAGTTGAAGCAAAATGCAGGACAATGTAGCACTTTAAAGACTAACAAGATGGTTTATTAGATGATGAGCTTTCGTGGGCCAGACCCACTTCCTCAGATCAAATAGTGGAAGAAAGTAGTCACAACCGTATATACCAAAGGATACAATTAAAAAAAAGAACAAATATGAAAAGGACAAATCACATTGCAGAACAGGAGGGGGATGCGGTGGGGGGGAGGGGGAAGGAAGGTAAGTGTCTGTGAATTGATGATATTAGAGGTAGGGAGAGTGGGATGTTTGTGAGTTAATGGTATTAGAGGTGATAATTGGGGAAACTATCTTGATAATGGGTGAGATAGTTCAAATGTTTGTTGAGTCCTTTTTGGAAAGTGTCGAATTTTAACATGAATGACAGTTCAGAGGATTCCCTTTGAAGTACAGATGTAAAAGGTCCAAGACCTTTTACATCATCACTCACTGTGTGTGTGTGTCATTCTCATAAATACACACTGTCCTTCCCTCTCATCTCCCAACACATATGTGGGTTGTTTTTGTTACTACTTTTATGGCTTGCAAAGTGGGTTAATTTTGGTTTGTGACTGGTCTGTGCATTTCATCAGTTTAATTTCTCTCTTAGGCTTACATTTAATTCTTTGAGTAGTGAGTTCTAAAAAGCCGAACCTGTTGTGGCTGCAGTAATTATCCCTGTGGTAATTGCTGCTCCTGGAAGTGGCTGGCATGTCCCAGCAGCCCCTGAAAGAGGCAGAGCAGGGGGTGTCCACATGCTGTCCTTCTTTCCCTGCAGTAAGGATGTGAACGAGATCACCTGCCTCTCCTCCCCCCTGTACTCTTAAAGGGACTGACAGGAGCTGGTATGCAAAGATGCTGGTTCAATCTCTGGTCCCTCACCAGGTTTTAGGAGAACCCTCCCCCGCACTGCCACTCTGCATTCTTTAAGGGACTGAACAGTCAGTCCCATGGGTCTCCGCACAAACCCCTCTGCGCTCCCTCCCCACTGCCACCCTTTAAGAAAGTCTATATTTTTTATATATATATAAAATGTATTTTATGATGGCATTATATATATATATAAAACATAAAAATATATATATATATACACACACACACACTCTCTCTCTCTCTCTCTCTCTCTCTCTCACACACAC